ACACACACACACACACATTGACCAAACTCACCGCACATCATCCAGTCTCGTCTGTACATCACCAAACCCGGGAAACGACTCTCGGAACTGGGGAGTAGAGATCACGTGATCACCAGACGACACGACAAGGTCAGGTTTTAGTTCTAGGCTTTTATTTAAATTAGGCTTAGATTTATTTTTAGTTTTACGTTTAGTTTGAGTAAGAGTTTTACAATAAGCAATATTGTCATAAAAGTGCTGAAGATTAGAGGTGTTGCAAGAGAGTAACAAACACAAGAAAAGGAGGAAGGGGAGAAAAAAGAACAATAAATGTTTGATAGAAAGAAGGAGAGATAAGGACGATAGATGTTTGATAGAATAAGGACGATAGATGTTTGGTAGGAAAGAAGGAGGAGAGATAAGGACGACAAAATGTTTGATAGGAAAGAAGGAGGAGAGATAAGAACGATAGATGTAGAATAGGAAAGAAGAAGCAAAACCACACTAGAGCACCCTTCAACCACCCACCAAAATCAGGAAAGTAAGTATACTATGATGGTGTCTGGGACGCTTGAATAGACAGAAAGGTTTTGAGCTGGTCGCTACGTCAGAATCACCTAGTTCTATCTGACATTTTGGTGCTGTTTTTAGTTACTAAAACATCTCTCCCCCTTCTTTCCTACCAAAAATAATTTGTCGTCCTTATCTCTCCCCCTTCTTTCCTACCAAACATAATTTGTCGTCCTTATCTCTCCCCCTTCTTTCCTACCAAACATAATTTGTCGTCCTTATCTCTCCTCCCTCATGAGGTCAAAAACCAAAATGTTCTATCTGCTGCTCTATCAAAATTGTAAAATTATTCGGAGTCGCAATCAAGATGATTATTCAGAGAACTGCATTGGAAAAAGCTTAACATGTTGTGAACAAAACACAAAAAATGTTGACGTCAAATTTCTCAAAACTTTGTACTGAGCAGATAGAACTATATGATTCTAGGGAAGCGATGTGGCTCTCACTGGCAAAAATAGAAGGCAAACGAAGCAGGGGAAGACCAGGAGAAACTTACTTGGACAGCCAAGACAGATGTTTGACTGGGAAAGACCATTATAATACATAAGACAATCTTTCTTAACTAATATAGGCAGGCAGTCAATCGATCAATTACTTTTTTTAAAATCCAGATTTCCAAACCATCACTTTCTTAAGTCCCTCCCTCTAAACTAAATCAGACTTTCAATCAATCAATCAATCAATCAATCAATCAATCAATCAATCAATTACATAAGTCCGACCCTCTCAAATCACTCCCTCTAAATAAAAACATGCTAAATCAACAATCAATTATATTAATCAATAAAGTAAATCAATAAATTATTATTACATAAGTCCATCCCTCTAAACTAAAGAGGCTGTCAATCAGTAAGGGCATTAAGCCCCACCCTCCATCCCTTTTTCCTGAAACTAACACTGCCTGTCAATCAATAAATTACCCCCCCCCCCCTTCCAATCCAAACAGACTTGTCAGTCCGTGAGTTAAACCGCTCCCCCTAAATCAAAACAGACTGTCAATCAGTGACTTAAGCACCCTCCCTCCCCCACTCCTTTTCTCTCTAAATTTCAATCATTCAATGAATTAAGCCCCGCCCCCAACCCCCTTTTCCTTAAACTAACAGAGACTGTCAGTCAGTGACTTAAGCCCCTCCCCCTAAATCCAAACAGACTGTCAGTCAGTGAGCTAAGCCCCGCCTACCTTCTCCTGCAGCTCGTGCTGTAGCGCCATAAAGGGGGCGGAGCTTGCGTTGAGGTAGAGGTCATCCCAGGGCAGGCCGGAGCTCACGGTCATCACGAGGTCAAAGTACGTGCTCTCCATGAGGGGCGTGGTCGGGGGCGTGGTCGGGGGCGGGG